ATTGACAAACGATAAAAATCAAGTACAAAATGATGATTCTAATGATAAGAATAACGATAAAAATGACAAATCTGTTGAAATTGTTGAAGTTAATTTTAAAAATACTTATGAAGAGGAATATGAAGAATTTGAGAAAATCGACGTACCGAGAATCTCCATTCCTGATGATATCTCTAACGATGGTGCACTTTGCAAGGTTAAACATCTAAAATTTGTCTATATATAAATGTATTATATATATATATATATATATATATATATATATATATATGCATAAACACATACATATATCAGTTCTATTAGGTGATTAGAAAAATCGATATATTATTTTTTCGAGATATCTTCACAGTCAATTCTTTTCTCTCTCTCTCTCTTTCTTTTTATAGTTTTTGTTTTATAGATTCTACAAAAGTTCCTAGACTCTCGTAATTTTAGATTTCGAGGGGAAAAAAGAAAAAAAAGAGAACGGACAAAAAAAAAATCCAAATCAACTGAAAATATATTGAAAAATATTAATCGACATTTCGAATCATTTATAGACTATCGGTTAAAAATAATATCGATGTCAATTTATATTGTACAATATAATTTTGACGAACATTTATGTCGATCGATTAACAATCGAATGACTAATTAAACGAATCGAAGATATGCAACGGCACGAAGCTGGGCCCTCTGATATTGCTCGAGTGCCAAGAGTGCCAAGAGATCTATCATCCCCTTTGCCATAATCCAGCGGTGGTCGATATCGACGTCTACGATCCCAGACTCGTTTGGCGATGTGGAAAATGCGCCGAAGTTACGGCCTCCAACTACGGGACTACTTTGGAGGAGGAGGGAAAGGGTGACGTTAAAAAAATTACAAATAATAAATATGCGAAATCGGTTAACGTCGAAAAGAAAAAACGTTGTGTTAAAATGTACGAACGTGAGAAAGTATTTAAACGACGTCGTTGAGGGAAACATTTTTCTTCTTCTTCTTTTTTTTTTCTTTGTTCAGTTTTTCTTTTTTTGTTTTTTTTTTTATTTATTTATTTATTTATTTATTTATTTATTTATTTGTTTGTTTATCTATTTTTTTCTTTTTTTTTTTTGAACGAACTAAATTATAAAAGAAACCAAAATATAATAAAAGAGAGGAGCATCCGTGAAATTCAAGATAGACGTGTGTGGTAGATCTTTTATTCGATAATAATCATTCGTTTTACACATATGTACTTCGCTGCCTTGCAAATCACAAAAACACGATCTCTCACTGCTCGTAGAACATACTCTAATCACAGCACAGGGCATCTTACTCTTATGAACTAGAACGAATATCATACAGCTATGATACAACGACAACGACGACGACGACGACGGTTCGCTCGTCTTTAATTCAAAAAGAAAAGAAAAAGGAAGAATCGTGTATTACGCAATACAGAGTGAATTTTTTTTTTCAAGCTGTTTTCAAAAAAATACATCGATATATTTCACGTCGCTAAACTAATAGAAGATTATTAATAAACGTTAATATATTGTAGAACATTCGTAGAACGAAACAACGAAATTATTATTATTATTATTATTATTATTATTGTTATTATTATTATTATTATTATTATTTTCAATAAAAGTCACGTTTATTAATATTTTTCTTTTAATAATTTCGTAAAACACAATTCGTATATCTCAAATACATTCATATATATATATATATATATATATATATATATATGAATCAATAACAATTACACTTCTTTTACACTCACCCTGTATATATTCTTTAACAATAAAATGAAATATTTTCATCGATAATTATATTCTTTCAATAAGACAAAACAAAAAAAAAAAAAATGAAGAAATAAAAAGAAAAAAAAGAATAAAAGGAAAAAGAAATAGAAAACAAAAAAGCAAAAAAAAAAGAAAAAAAAAGAAATAATAATAAATAAAAAGATAGGAGGAAAATTCTAACAATTACAATACTTTCTCGCTCTTTTTCATTTCTTCACATTAACTTCGTCGTCGATCGATTTAAATCAATTCGATCGATATAATACTACTTCATTCAAATATATCTTTGTTAATCGAAATAACATCTATAAGTTCGATCTATAAATTTTGGCGATTTTGAGCGAGGACGAGAGTTTCGATTCAAAACTTTGCATTTGTGCATTTTTTTTCTTTTCCTTTTCTTTTCCCTCTTTTTTTTTTCGACTGACATTCGATACTCATATCATTTTGCTTATCTAATGGTTATATTACGCACGCATTACGAGAATAAGAGAAAGTATACATACATACATATATATATATATGTGTGTATATACATATATATATATGTATGTATTTATATATTGAGAATTTTTCTATCTCTCTCTCTCTCTTTCTCCCTTTCTCTTTATCTTAAATTCGATACTGTTAAATTTCTTAAAACTAGTCGGACTACTAATCACTACAATTAATCGACTCAAAGTAAGTGCCCTGTGTTTGAAGAATTTTAATATGATAATAATAAAGATCAAGATATAGATCAACGTTGATATATATATCGATCTAAAATTCGTCAAAGGGAAGGAAACGATGAATGAATTAAAAAAATTTTAAGGAAAAAAAAAAAAAAAAAAAGAGAGAGGAAATAAAGATAGAAATAAAAAGGATAAATAAGATAGAAATAAGATATAATAAGATAGGAATGAAGTAAGTGGCGACACGAAAACGATATTTTTTTCTTTTTCTTTTTTTTTTTTTTTTAAGCGACAAAATATCTTTTGTGCTCGTTATCACAGAGAATCGTTTACTTCGTCTAAAGAAATTGAAAATGCATATAAAATGGGGATAAAAGTAAATGAAGAAAGAAAAAAAAAATGAAAAGAAAATAAAATAAAATAAAATAAAATAAAATGGAAAAAATTAATCTCAATGTCGAAAGAATAAAAAAAAAGAGTTTTCCCATTGCGGTGCGTCATTGAAATTTATATCTTCTATCCCTTTGTCTCATTATTGCCAAGTAATAAATAAAATATAAAATTTCTTTTTGCCAAGAGCAAAATATACATACGTAATAGTTTTTCCAAAACAAAACAAAAACAAAAACAAAAACAAAAACAAAAACAAAAACAAAAAAAAAGACAGAGAGGAAAAAAAAATTTGCGAATTGGAATATACGTACATATATATGCGTCTGCAAAGTCGAATAAAAATTTGTCTTTAATGAAAATCGTGTCTTTTCTGTATATTTTTCTGCTTTTTCTTTTTCTTCTTCCTTTTTTCATTTATATATATATATATATATATATATATATATATATATATATATATATATATATATATATATATATATATATATATATATATTTAGCTTGTTCTTTTATTTCTTTTTTTTCTTCTTGATTTCATTAGACTCTTTTTCTTCGATTAGCAAGGATTTATTAAATGGCACGATTTCTCGACTCGATTTACGATCGATTATCTTTCTTTCAACAAATATATTTTGACGTTTAATATTCTTTTCAAAAAAGTACATGCGCGCGCATGCGTTCGTTTTTAATAGAATTCTTTTTTCACACTTTAACCTGGCATTTGTAATCTTTCAAATTGTTCATTATAGAAAAAGAAGTAGAAGAAACTCAATGATAATATTCAATGTACGTTCCGCAATATATAATAAAAGGGTGATATGAAATTAATAGTATGAATACACACACACACACACACACACACATACACAAACACACATATGTATGTATTCATCGTAAAGTTCAATTTTTTTTTACCCACATGTATGAAATTCATGCATTTTGGTTTTGTTACTTTATAAATCACTCTTAAGGGTATGTGTGTGTGTGTGTGTGTGTATATGTATGTATGTATGTATGTGTAGGTGCCTATGTGTGTTCTATTCTTTTTTTTGTTTTTTTTTTCTTTCTTTCTTTACCTCTCATGATCATTCTTTATTTCTCTACGTGCGTATGGTTAAGCATGCTTCATTTATAAAACTTTCCTAAGGAAATTCTTATTGAAAACACGTATGTGTGTTCGATGAGTATAAGAACTAATTGTATATTCATTAAATCGATTGAAATTAGTATGGCAAGTTTTTTTTTTCTTTTTCTTTTTTTTTTCATAACATTATTTACTCGACCATGGACTTGAAGAGAAAGAAGGGGGGAAAAAGAAAAAAGAAAAAGGAAGGAAAGGAAAGAAGAAAAAAAAAAAAAAAACAGAAAAAAAACGAAAGAAAAAAAAGAAATTATAGCGTGCGAACGTAAATACATACTTACTAAAATGAGTATATTGTACTAAAGTAATTGAAATGTTTTTTTCCTTTGACGATAATACTAAATTATACATCGTAGTTTTATCTATGGACTCCTTTTAAAAATTAACTTTAACGATCGATTTCATTTATCATTTCAAACTTGTCAAAAAGACGAATGAATTAGAAATAAGATAATACTTGTTACTAGGTGTGTTTATACTTACTTAAAAATATTTTTCTCTTTTTACATACTCGTTATAGATTTATCTCTCTCTCTCTCTTTCTCTTTTTAATGTGTGACAAATTTAGCCTAATTTCTGCCAGAGTCGAAGTGCCAAGTGAGTGACATCGATTAAATAAAGATTTTGACACTCGTGTCAAGGATCTATATCATTTCGTCTTTAGATAACTACTTTTGCTTGGCACTCGATCATTTTTTTTCTTAATCGTCTCGATCGTGCCAGAGATTTCTTGCATTTATCTTACTTGTTTATCGAAACATAGTATCTTCGTAGCAATTATAGTATCATAATACTTTTTTATGATATTTTCATAGTATTTTAAATAATAATAATAATAATAATAATAATAATAATAATAATAATAATAATAATAATAATAATAATAATAATAATAATAACAATAATAATAATTAGTAATAATAATGATAATAGATTTAAAATAATGAAGAAAGAAAAAGAAATAAGAAAAAGGAATTTTTTAAAAATTCTTACGCGACGACGATAAAGAATTCATTTATCGTACGTCAACCCTGTATTTAATTTTGATTGATTTTCTTTTTCCTCTTTCGTGCGTCTTCTTTCCTTCTTCTTTCTCTCTCTCTCTCTCTCTCTCTCTCTCTCTCTCTCTCTCTCTCTCTCTCTCTCTCTCTCTCTCTCTCTCTCATTTGTTTTCGTTTAAAACTTCTTTATTTCTTTTAACAGAGATAGAGAGTTTAGAACTGACACTAAGGGAATGACATTGTGATATGACGAATCGCGATCATTCCGTGCTCTTTTTTTTTTCTTTTTTTTTTTTTTTTTTTTTCTCGTCTTGAAAAATGTCTTGAAAATTGTTCGTACTAAAAGCAAACGGGCCGTCTCAAATGAAATTTATTATTTATGTATGCAATTATGTATCTATGTAATGTATTTATGTACATACGTACACACGTACGTATGTATGTATGTGCGTATATACGTGTGCATATAAATGAGTGCATGTTGTGTGTATGTATATTATTATCGATATGGTAGCGCTCGATATCAGGCACGAGAAACAAGTGATTCAATAAAGATCTTATCACCGAAGAATGATAATAGTTTATCAAGCATTTATTATACAATTCGATATCAATATGAAACGCGAAAATGTTGTATTATTGTTATCTTTAGTGCATCACTTGGCACGGATTTGAACGTTTCGATAACATCGAATAAACCGACAATGATCATTGATCATTTAATCATTGTTTGTTCAACATTTAATGACGATGAAAAGGAGTAAAAAAAAAAAAAAAAAAAAAAACATTATTCTCAGAGAATTACGATATAAACTAATGATATCTCGCCAGCGTTTGGACATTTTTTCTTTCTTTCATTTTCTTTCGGTTTCATTCGATTGTTCCTTTTCTCTTTTCTTTATTATAATTATTGACAATGGCATGCATTTATTCGAATCACATGTCATATGTAGCTTTTGTATAGAAAGAATCTTTATATACGTTATTACTATACGAGCAGATGATTATGAAGTAAAAAATTGAAAAAAAAAGAAAAAAAAGAAAAGAAGAAAAAGAAAAAAAAATAAAAAAAAAAAGGAAATTAGTTTAATATATAATTCATATAGCAATGACCTAATTATACGAATTATCCAATAAATTAATTATTTTTTTTTTTAACTTTGATTTACGTTAGACCACTTTTACAATGCTAGCTCACATAGTAATTAATAGTATATACATACATATATATATATACATATATATATATATATGTATATATATATATATATGAGCCGATAATTATGAGAGCGTGGTATAATTCAAAAATTGAAAAAAAGAAATAAAAGAAAAAAAAAAAGAAGAAAAAAAAAAGAAAAAATAAAATAAAATAAAAAACAAAAAATTAATTCCGTCCTTAATTCATATGGGAATGATATTAATTATATCAATTGCTTAAATAAACGAATTTTTTTTCTTTTTTGTCAATTTTTAACTCAAACCACTTTCATAATCATCGTCTCATTATATATAATAAATATGCTGGCGAACATGTCGGTGGTTTATTGTTTTGACAAGTAATCTAAGAAGAGATTCTCATATTAAAATATATAGAGAATAGTAGATAGTATTTGTGTGTATAAAAATGTGCAAAAAACAGATGTTTTTCTAAGTCGTCGTGTAATATATACGCACGATCTATTATGGTGTATATTATATATAATAATAATAATAATACATCATACATACGATTATCTTGGAACGTAAAGCTTTCACATGTTATTACGACGAAGAAATACATATGTATGTATGTATGTACTTTATGTATGCATGTATGTATGTATGTGTACGATAAGTTGACTCTCAGAAAACTAATTCGGCAAATGCGTATATAATAACATCGTTCTATAAAATTGTCATGCTTGCGGAATATACGAAGAATATCTTACATGAATCAAAAGGACCTTGTTTTTATATTGTTAATAAGGTTTTTTTTTTGGTTCGAAAGTTCAACACACATACATACAAGTGTTTGTTACAAATATTGTTTCATATTTCATCCCTTGGTCAGATGTTATATAACGAGGGATCGCAGAATTATTTCTTTTCTTTTCTTTTTTCCTTTCTTTTGCGATTCCTCTTCGAGCATACTCTTCTCAAATAAATTCTATTAATTATCCTTAAAATGACGCAATTATATTGAAATATCGAATACTATGTATGTATGTATATATAGATATATATATATATATATATATATATATATTCATACATATACATATATACGTGTATAGTGTATGTATATATATATATGTATGTAAGTTATATATATATATATATATATATATATATACAAATCGTAAATATTTATGTGCTAATGTTAAAAACATAGGAACTACATCCTAAACTTCGTATTACATTTACGTGTCGTATTTTATAATAATTAGTCTCGTAATTAGATCTCACAGAAATCATTTTGGTTATCTTAAAATCTAACCTTATAAGCCCTGTTTCCTACACATACATATCTCCTAGCCTCGATGATCTTTCATCAACAAGATATTAATTAGAAGATATTTTATTGGATAATAAATTTCAGATCTCATTGTAACGTTCATTTGATGAACGTAAAATTTTCATAGTTCTAAATTACATTGACGTAAATGCATTTCTCTTTCTCTTTCTCACTCTTTCTCTATAACACACGTACACACACATATATATATGTATATATATATATGTATATATATATATATATATGTATATGTTTCTTATAACAATGAATTTGAACATACAAAATAATGTTTTCTCTACATTATATATAAAGCGATTGAAAAACGTAGCGACTAGACTTTATGCGATCGACTAGAATCTCCACTTTCAAAAAATCTCTACAAAGATAAAACTTTTTCAATTCTATAGAATGAAATTTCTTTTCATTCTTCGTATAATGGACCTTTTCTCCGTGAAAAATTCAATTTAGTGTGCTAATATCTGACCTTACTATACTATATACCATGTGCTGTTTATATGTAATACACTTGTTTAATTATAGTCACTACGATGTTTTTCTTTACTAATAATTGTTATTGGAAGGCCATTAGAAGATTCATCGTAAGTAATCCCAGTGCCTTACTATGGAAGCGCTATGTTTCTTTCATTATTTATATTAATAAATATCATCTCTGCGACCTCCTCTCGTATTTTATAAATGATTTTATTTGTTTAATTGGAAAGGATGATTAATTATAAAAAAAAAAAGAAAAAAGAAAAAAGAAAAAAGAAAAAAAAATCAAAGTAACAGTCACTTTGAGTCGTTTTAAAAATAATTTGATATTAAATCATTGAGAATAGTATGATCATATAAATAAGAAACTTTTAAAAATCATTTTATGCGTCATAATAATAAAATTCTCATTACTTTTTAGATTAAAAATATAAAATGAACAGAACAGCACTTCCAGGTAGTGACAGTAGGTACTTTAAGACGACAATCAAAATTATAAATTATTCTATAAAATTAATCCACTTTCGTGGCAGGTAATCCATGACCTACAACCAGCTGTTCTTTTGGAAAGTCTAAAATCACGGTAAAATGAAATCCCATATTTGCAGAGGCTATCACGTATTCGCATAATGAGAACCAACTAAATGCTAAGTGGGAGAGGCAAAAAAGATTAATTAAGATAAGTAACGATTAAGAAAATAGATTCAATGTATGATTATAATGAAAAAGGCACTTTAGAACATCTTACATAAGCTATAAATTATGAATAATTAAAATGAAAATGTTCTTACCCAAGTCGTGACATAACAGCCGATGTTTTAAAAAGAAGATAATAAGTCCAACCGTACTGATCACGCTTGTAACAAACAATGCCTGTTTGTACTGAAGACTTTGTGCATTAGGAGTAACAAGACGGCCTAATCTTACTGATGTCAGCATATATGAGAGAGAGCTGAACATGAACACGATAAAAATCTTCTCGTGTACAGCTGAAAAATAATTTGAACGAATTATAATTTTGAATTAATTTATAAAAAAAAGAAAAAAAAAATATGATAATTTCAATTACACTTGTATAAGTTAATATTTTCTAATGTACTTCATTTGATTTTAATTAAAAGTATATTAACACTATTGTCAACAAAACGTTTCATTATTATCATAATCTTAACAAATTGTATACAAATTGTATATTAATTAAATTTTAAATGATAATAATGCATTATTGAATCATCTTAAATTCATTAAATTAAAAGAAGCATAGAATATTTTTACTTACGATAATTCTCTCTATTTGATATATATGTTACGCCACTTAAAGCAGCTACCTCAGCAATATTTAACCAATAGCATAAATTTAATAGTCTACATCCCATAATTCTGCTAGGTACATCTTCTAAAGTTTTGAGTATTTTGTAATAATATGAGTGATATACACCGGCAATAACTAAACGAGGTCCAATATGTAATGCTATGCTAATACGCCATAAATATCGTTGAGGAGATACGCCAGTTATAGCTGATATTGATGGAAGGACATTATAAACCTGTAGCGATAACACGCGACATATTAAATAATATAAATTTAATAATAATAATAAAAATAAAAACAAAAAAAAAAAAACAAAAATAAACATATAATAGTACAATACCTTACAATGTGTTTCATGTATGTCATCCTGTTGGAAAATATATGCAGTGACAAAACAAAAAATCAGAGAAAACAATGGTAGGCAAACGGTGCTCATACATAATCTCTTAAATGATATTACTAAATACACAGAACTTTTGCTGCCTCCTACATTGTTAAGCTCCATACTTGTGTTGTTCATCATTTTGGTGTTGTTCATCATTTGCGAATAAGTAAAGTCAAAAAAAACTTATGTTTATCATTAGATAATAATACATGATTGCTATTATATTAATCCTATTTTGAAGCACGTAGAATCGTTCTGTGTTTCATGATGATATGCCTAAAAATCAAAAAATTCAACAAAAAATTTTATCTTCTGAAACATATGATCTTAAAATACATATCGTTATAGGTATGATAAATTTTATTCCTACTTTTCTTTATATATATATATATATATATAAATTCGAGAGAGATATATTAATGATACAAAAGAAAAAAATTATATTTAATGGAAAAAAGAAAGGGAAGGAAGAAAAAAGAAACATAAATAAAAGGAAGATCCCTTTTCATTAGAAATAAATATGAACGTAAACGTGTTTGATAAAGCCGAACAATGATATGGATTTTTTTTCGCGCCATATAATTATTAGAGTGACGAGATGATACAATTCTGACATTTTTCTTTGCTTTCTTTCTTTTCTTTTTTTTTCTTTTCTTTTATCTTTCTTTCTTTCTTTTTTTTTTTTTTGGAATTGATTTTGTGGATAACCTACTTTTTTCTATAAATAGCAAACAAAAGGGTAATGTGTCGCGATGAGCGCGTTCGTGACATTTTGCCATGGGCAAGTTAGTCCATCGTCCTTTTTCAAAAAAAAAAGAAAAAGAAAAAGAAAAAACCTAGGGTACGATCATAATTAAATACATTAGAAATAATGAACGATTGAAAAAATGACAAATTAATTTTCTTATTCGAATTATTTTTTACGTACGTACTTGAAAATATCGACGATTGAAAAGAAAAAAATATTGACGAATGGAAAAACTTTAAAATACCGTGATATATATATATATATACATATATATATATATATTTTCTTCATCAAAAAGAAATTTAAGAACAATGGTATTATATACCGAGTGCTTAAGTATAATAAAATGTTCTTCGAGTGGGCGTGTTCGTCGATGATTATAAAATAAGAAAAAGGAAAAGAAAAGAAAAAGGAAAAGAAAAGGGATAGGGAAAGGAAAAAGGAAAGAAAAGGAAAGAAAAACGAAATAAATTAAGGAAAGAAAGAAAGAAAGAAATAATAATAAACGTTAACAAATAGTAAATGAATAATTGATCACTTACTTTACTTGTGAGCTGTGTGTATCGTCTGCTAGAGACTTGTGAGATACGCTAATCTCTATCCAAGCAGTCGCCATCTGCTTTTGTTATCTACGTAGAGCGCTATAAATCAATTTGGCGGGTTTTTTAAATAAATCGCGCGTTTCTTTTCATTTTTCCTTTTCTTCTTTTTTTTTTTTTTTTAATTGTAATTTCGTAACAATTCGAATCAGGAACGTACTACTTTGTCAGATTATTAACTTTTCGAATAATATTTATATGGCCTCAGATAAAATATGTTTTTATTATTAGATAACGATCAAAATATTGTCGAAATAAATCTAGAGAGAATATATATATATATATATATATATATATATATATATATATGATTAATTAATATCAAGGTGGACATCGAAGAACTGCGTTTTTTATTGAAGTTAAAAAACAATATATATATATATATATATATATATATATATATATATATATATATAACAATGAAAGAAACATTAAATTTATCGTTCCTTTTTTTTTCTTTCTTTACAATTATTCAATTTATTGAAAATATAAATTTTTTTTTTTTTTTTTTATTTAATATTATTCTATGATTTTTGTCGTAGTGCAGGTTGTTCCTCCTCGATCTCATATTCGATTTCGACTCTTGGACGTAATTTTTTCTTCGTTTTACTTTTCATGTTTTTAACTTTCGATACTTTCTTCTTGCTTGTTGACGGTACGATATCCTAGGGAAATAGAAAAAGATTTATTATTTAAATACATATGGATTTTTTTTTTTTTTTGATTGCATTACGTTTTATATTTTGAAATTAAAAAAGTTGATTACTTCGATATCGCTGGTTTCTGATTCAAAACTATCGGATAATTCAATTTCTTCTTTTTCACCGGAGTTACTATCTTGATCCTTGCGAGATTAGAAAAAAAAATATGATTAGATATTGATATATATATATATATATATATATATATATATATATATATATATATATCTTCATTTTTATAATCAATTGTTTTTACTATATTTACATCATCTATTTCATATTCTTCTTCATCGTCTTCGTCGTCTTCACTTTCTGCTTCTATGTATCGTGATCCATTAGTTACAGTTTCTCTTTCATCAGCTTCCAATTCCATTTCTACTTCCTTTTCAATATTTTCTTCTTCTTCCTCATATTCCCTTTCGCTTTCTCCCTCGCTTTCCATTTCTACAACTTCCACAGCTTTATCGAATACTTTTTGTGGAAAATTGTAAATATCATTGTACTGTAAAAAAAAAAAAAAAAAAAGAAAGAAAGAAAAAGAAAAAAGGATTAATAATTAAATATCAAAATGATAGATATTGGAATTATATTAAAAATATTTTTTATCTAACCACTCCTTGTTTCAATCTTTCCATAAGTTCCTTCTCAATAACATTTTCCACTCTTGCAGCTATAAGAGCCTTTTCTTCTCTACGTCTTTCACGTCTTTCAATTTTTCTAGAAAGCGGTATTATTTTCTTTTGCCTTCTTAATTTAAGCTTTCTCATACGTATAAGATATTGCGTTATTTTAAGAAATCTCTGTTTGCATTTAGCTTTTATAAAACTTGGCCAATATAACAAATTTTCATTGATTTGATAAATGGCCTTCTCAAAATTTCTAGAAAGTTTTACCTTCTCCCACATATTTTTAGGAAAATGTACTCTAAACAATTAAAATATACATATATATATATACATATCTATATGTATGTATATTATGTAAAATCAAAATTATTTAACATATATGAAGAACAAATCATTTACCTTTCTGCAGTTCTCATATACAGATAAATAATACCATTCTCTTCTCTAATAGTTGCATATTGGCTATTTGCAAGAGGGCATGATGCCCTACTGCACAATCCAGTAAGATTGTATTCATTTCTACAAAACCTTTGAGTTTTGGTGCTATCACAGAGAGAGAGAGAGAGAGAGAGAGAGAGAGAGAGAGAGAGAGAGAGAGAAAAATTGTTAATAAAACATCACAATAAAATTGATAATAATACAATTAATAATAAATAAATTTTTATACTTACTTTACTTTAAATGAACAGAAAGATTTATTGATTATACTCCAGACAACCTAATGAAAAATGAATATTACAAAAACATTATGAATTTTTGTATTAAATATGAAAAGAATTGATATTATATTATTTCAATTACGTACATCATCATGCTGCATTTTGACTTAACGTTAGAATCTATACAATTATTCCAATATAATACACGTGTTTATCTCGTCATAGCTACGGAGAATACGATAGTATGGTTAAGTTTTCTTATAAAATTTTTAGAACAATGTACGATAGATGGCGACACATTGAACATCCGGGAAATCGAGTATCGCGATATTAATTCTTTCAATCGTTGAAAGATGTCGCTGTAGACGGTCGATTAGTTAGTCGGTAAAAAAAAACAAAAGTATATATTCAACCGTCAACTGTCGCCATCTATCCATAATCGATATACATCGCGATTCGATAATATCGATTATCGAAGTAAAGTACAAAGTAAGACAAACGTTCGAAGATGATCTTAAAAATTAATTATTTTTCGAAATATTTTTATCCTCGTGTAATTTAACGATATGAAAAAGAAAAAACAAGAAATTAAATCCAAAAAGTTATCGATTTTTAAAATCACGTGTAAAATTATTACATTTATTCTGATATAAAGTAAATAACGCTTTACAATTTTCTATTTGTTCGTTAAAGTGAAAATCTCAGTGGATACGTTCTTTTTTGATTATGTGAGTAATTCGTTTTGTGTGATTAGAAAAAAAAAAGAGAAAGAAAGAAAAAAAAAACAGAAAGCAAAAGAAACAAAAAAAAAAGTAAAAGAGAAATATTATTCGTTTGAAATTAATCGAAAAGGAAAAAAAAATATATATATATATATAAGAAAAAAGAATTAGAAAATATTCACGTGATCGAGGATAGTCTAATCGTGAAAAAGAGAACTAAGGGAAAAAGAGAAGAGCAGGACGGTCGTTTTCATTGTCTTGTAATCCCGTTTCTGGAACTAATCACCGGATAATGGACGAATTTATATTCGCGTGCCGTTCTTGCCCGAGCCATGACAACGGTTAGACGTCATCCTGTCACTACTTCGATCTTTTCGCGACATCGTTCATGGGTAAGTCAAGTTTCTTAATTAAGAACCCTTCACCCTTCTTGTCCTCTTTTCCAACGATGATGGAGAACAAGGGAGACTAGGGCGGTCAGAATAGTAAGGAGCAAATAGCATGAGGGGGAGGGGGGAGGGAAGAGAAAAACATGGTGGTCGCTTAAACAATGGCCGACAACTTTTTAAATTTTTCTTTTTTTTTTCCCGCCCGTTTTTTTCTTTTTTTTCTTTTTTCCTCTCTTTCCTTTCCTATTCATTTTCATTTCATTTCTTTTTCTTTCCTTTACGCGCGTTAAGTCCAATTAAGATTTCTTTTTCTTCTTTTTTCCTTCTAATATCTTAAAGATGTAAATTGTGATTGTGAAGATAGGAAAAAGAAGAAAGAAAAAAAAAAGAAGGAAAAAAAAAAGAGAAAGGAAGAAAACAAAATTCAAAGTTGGTCAAAGTCATTGTGCCATTGTTGTACGAAGGCATTCGTAATATTCATTAAATATTATTATCCATTAATTACGGATACAAACGTTTTAATTTTATTATAACAAAAGATGTCTGACCTCTTTTCTTCTTATCCCTTTTTTCTTTTGTTCATTTATATATTCGATATTTTTTTCATATGTCAAACGTTTAGATATATGTATATACTTCTATATACGTCCATTAAAACGATCTATTATTTTATCTATTGTCATAAATAAATAACTATATTATGTGTATTTTAATATTCGATTAAAGTGGAAAATATTTAAGATAAACATATGTGCAATAATAAAATTTATTATTATTATTATTATTATTATTATTATTATTATTATTATTATTATTATTATTATTATTATTATTATTATTATTTAATTAATATAAAATATATTAGATATATATTTATATATATAAAATATAGAAATCTAATATCCATTTCTATCATTCAAATCTAAATACATTTAAAAAATTTATATCTATACAGATACAATTTTATCGTATTACAGGATAGATTCCTTTTTATTAATACTTCTTTATCAACGCTTATATATATATAAGCGCTATATATATAAGCGCTATACTTCATATCATGTAATATACTTCATATCATATATATATATATATATACTTCATATCACTTTATTCAACATTTATATATACGTCAATCAATCAAACCTATATTTATCACCGATACATTTTTATTATATTGAATATTTTTTTTTTTTATTATATTAAATACATATAAACGCACACATATCCAAAGTTTACATACATTTAATCCTACACGTTCAATTTATATCGTACGTTCTATTATTTTTCTCTCTTTCTCTCTCTCTCGTTTCTCTTTCAAGTTTGTCCACTAGAGAAAGAAGACAGAGAAGTAAGTAAGTACTTAAGCAAGCGTTAAGTCGAGAAGTTAGTATGTACATACTTACTTAAGAATAATAGGAGTGAACGTACTTATGGCGTTCGCGGATGTACGCTCGTGTAGAGTTTCGATTCAAAGGGATGAAATGTGCAATAGAGAGAGAGAGAGAGAGAGAGAGAGAGAGAGAGAGAGAGAGAAAGAGATATAGAAAACATGAGAGGATAGAGAGGGGGGAGGTACAAGAGTAGAAACAGAGATAGAGAGAAAGAGAGAGAAAGAGAAAGAAAGAGAAATAGAGACAGATAGAGAAAGAGAGATAGAGAGAGAAAGAGGGAGAGTTTGTTGAACGGCGTTTGCGCGTTGCTAGTTTCATGTCCGAGAGAGCGCACGCTTCCGCCTGATCGCTCACATACATTTTCGTTAAAACGCGCGTTCCGTCCGTTTCATTAATTTTAATGCTCGCCGACCATTCTGTTCGTTTCCGCGCAACATATGAATGCGCGGCTTTCGTCTCTCTCTCTCTCTCTCTCTCTCTCTCTCTTTCTCTCTCTTTCTCTTCCTATCTCTGTTTCTCTTCCATTCGTATTCTCTATATCTTTCTCTTTCTGCACGCGACACATAACACAAAATATACAATATTCGCGTACGTAGGGAGAAAGAGAAAGAGAGAGAAAGAGAGAGAAAGAGAGAGAGAGAGAGAGAGAAAGAGAATGAGAGAAAGAGAGAGAGAGAGAGAGAGAGAAAGAGAATGAGAGAAAGAGAGAGAGAGAGAGAGACGAATGCGCTCATGCAAACGCGGCCTCGGGTTGGTTGATATTAATTAATAATCAGAAACAGATGCGGCTTCGGTTGGGCATGCTAAAGTGGCGGCGGTGGTGGTGGCGATGGTGGTGGTGGCGGTGGTAGAGGTTCGAACCAGCGATAATTATTTAAGTCCCTCTTCTCGTCTCTTTCCATCCTTCTTTCCTTCCTTTCTAACTCTTTACCTCTCTCTACCATTTCTCTCTCTCTCTCTCTCTCTCTCTCTCTCGTTCTCTTTCTTTCTCCATCCATCGTTCCTTCGGCCGCGGGACCACTGCGCCGTGCTAATTAAAGAGCATTCGCTTACGAATTTTACGCGGCTTTCGCTACGTTATGTACGGCCCGTTAGTCCCGGCACCCTTTTAAACCGGAGAACGCCTGAAGCCTCGTAGGAATATACCCCGGAGACCTTGTGCCACATTTTATTTTCATGCCTCCTACTACGCGAACCATTCGTGTGATATGTGTGTGTGTGTGTGTGTGTGTATGTATGTATGTATGTATGTATGTATGTATGTATATATGTATGTATGTGTGTGTGTATGTATGTATGTGTATGTGTGTTATGAGAGAGATTGATTTTTTCTTTCTTTTCAGAGAGACTTTCAGAGAGATTATACTTATTTATTTGTATAGACCAGGTGTCTATACGTTTAAATGTTTTAATTAATTAACGCTAAGAAATAATGGTATTTAATAATTCGTTAATAACGAATTGATTGATTATATTTTATTAATTTTATATATATATATATATATATATATATATATGTATGTATGTATGTATGTATGTATTTGTGTATTTATATATGGATATCTTTTCTTTCTTTCTTACAAAAATTGATTGATTTATATGCGTTAAAAATTGTATTAAATTTTGTAACTATTATGAGAAAATTGTCCAATGTAACAATCATATTTCGTCAATCAAAGATCGATCGAAAATTCAATATTAAAGTCTCGTTAAAATATTTGACAATTAGAAATACGATCTTTTCAAAATTTTTTATGATCATCCATCTATTAACGCATATCACAGAAATGCACGGATATTGAACAGGAGGTATAGATATGTGAAATAGGTACGAATTTATTTGAATATGAGATATCATTTTTTTTTTTTTTTTTTTTTCTTCAATAATTTTATTTCTATACTTTTTTATTTTTATTTTTATTCTCTTTATTATATAATATAGCAGGTATCCGAAAAGGATATTCGTTATATTTAGTAAGAAGGCGTCCGGCAAACTTTCTAGACGCGACTTTTCCATATTTCCAGCGTTATAATCCCCGAATCGTCATCAAAAGTCAGCGAGGTACGAGCGAGAAGATCGCGGAAGTTTCTCACGAGTGAACCACCGAGAAAATCGGAGTCGAAGGGGATGAGTAAGAGAGTAAGAGAGTAAAAGAGAGATATAGATAGCTAAGGAGAGAGAGAGAGAGAGAGTGAGAGAGAGAGAGAGAGAGAGAGAAGCAAAGGAGACTTTCCGGATGGCGCTTAGCCAACGACGCTCCCAGTGTCTGCCTTAATATCCGCCACTAACATTATTTCATAAAAGTATTACTATAAATTCAAACTCGCGTTATTTAAGCCCTGTGCCTCCTAGGGAGAGGACCTACTCTCTCTCTCTCTCTCTTACTCTCTTACTCTCTATCTCTTTCTATCTCTTCTCTCTCTCTCTCTCTCTCTCTCTCTCTCTCTCTCTCTCTTTCATGTCGGGTATTTCACCGTAAGCACACCACGAAAGAACGGAAGCCACTACTACCACCATCGCCAGGAGTAGTAGAAGTAACAGTACCAACACTACCACCACTACTACCATTACCACCACCAGCATCACCATCACCATCACCATCATATCTACCTACCACCCTCACCTCTTTTGCGAATTTCTCCTTACATTATACTCGAAGCCAACCGTGGAAGCAAGTTTTGCCGGCCTCTTTTCCCTCACCGCCACATTAGAGATATATTATGCAGATAGTAGAGGCACCCCGTTCGAGAGGAGAAACGCG